ACCTGTTATTAAGCTTACCTGTGATTAAACTGATTTCACCTGTTAATAAGCTGACTTCATCTGTTATTAAGCTTACTTCATTTTTATTAAGCTGACTTCACTTGTTATTAAGCTGACTTCACTTTTTATTAAGCTGACTTCACTTGTTATTAAGCTGACTTCACTTGTTATTAATCTGACGTCACCTGTTTTTAAACTTCATTTACCTAAATGCAGAGAAGAAGAGTGGGGGGGAGGGAGGGAAGGAGGAAGGGAAGGTGGGAGGGATGGAGGGAGTGGAAGGGAAGGAAGGGAGAGAGGGAAGAAGGGAGGAAGGGATGGAGGGAAGGGAGGGGAGGGGAGGTGAGGGAAGGGAGGGGAGGGGAGGTGAGGGAAGGAAGGGAGGGGAGGGGAGGGGAGGGGAGGGGAGGGGAGGGGAGGGGAGGGGAGGGGGGACCTGGCCATTTTTGATAAACCAAATTTAGCTTTTAATTTCCTCCCTTAACTTTCCTTAGAGAAAACGTGCTTCCCTCCACCCTCCATCACAGTACCCTCCCTCCCTCCCTCCCTCCCTCCCTCCCTCCCTCCACACAGTGCGGTGCCAGAGGTTCTCACTCCTTGTATTTATCCTCAATGAGTTCCTTGGCAGGTTGATTGAGTCCTATTATCAGGCTCGTCCAGGTGTCTACTCCCTCCCTTCCTCTTTCTCTCCCTCCCCTCCCTCCCACCCTCCCTCCTTCCCTCCCCCCCTCCCTCCCTCTCTCTCTCAGTCATTTATTGTTAAATATTTCTAAGGATTTTGCCTGTTTTTTTTTCTCTCTCCGTCTCTCTCTCTCTCTCTCTCTCTCTCTCTCTCTCTCTCTCTCTCTCTCCTCTCTCTCTCTCCTCTCTCTCTCTCTCTCTCTCTCTCTCTCTCTCTCTCTCTCTCTCTCTCTCTCTTTTCCCTCCCTCTCTCTCTCTTTCCCTCTCTCTCTCTCTCTCTCCTCTCTCTCTCCTCCTCTCACTCTCTCTCCTCTCTCTCTCTCTCCTCTCTCCTCTCTCTCTCTCTCTCTCTCTCCCCAAATCAAATCCTCAGGAAAGACAGAGGGAGCAGAGGGGAAGGAGGAGTTGCACTACTCATTAAAAACTGGTGGGGATTTGAGGAAATGGAAGGAATGGATGGAATGAGCGAAAGGAACTACATAGTAGGAACAATCCAGTCTGAGGGACATAAGGTGATAATTCCAGTAATGTACAACCCACCACAGAACTGCAGGAGGCCAAGAAAAGAATACGACGAGAGCAACAGAGCGATGGTTGACACACTAGCCGAGGTGGCCAGAAGAGCTCACATTGGGGGGAAGAAAGTTGCTAGTTATGGGCGATTTCAATCACAAGGAGATTGACTGGGAAAAACCTGGAGCCCCATGGGGGTCCCGAAACATGGAGAGCCAAGATGATGGATGTGGTACTGGAAACCCTCATGCATCAATATGTTAGAGACACTGCCAGAGAGAGAGAGATGAGGATGATCCAGCAAAACTGGACCTTGTATTCACCTTGAGTAGTTTGGACATCGAGGATATCACATACGGAAGGCCCTTTGGAGCTAGTGACCTTGTGGTTCTGTGCTTTGATTATGTAGTTGAGCTACAAGTGGAGAGAGCAGCAGGAATACGACGTGAAAACTAAACTACAAAAGAGGGGACTACACAGGCATGAGGAACTTCCTGCAAGACGTTCTGTGAGAGAGAGAATTGGCAGGAAAACCAGTAACAGAAATGACGGACTATGTGACAACAAAATACAAGGAGGCAGAGGAGAGGTTTGTTCCCAAGGGAAACAGAAATAATGGAAAGATCAGAACGAGTCCTTGGTTCACCCAAAGGTGTATGGAGGCAAAAACTAAGTGCGCTAAAGAATGGAAAAAGTACAGAAGACAAAGGACCCAGGAAAACAAAGAGATTAGCTGAAGAGTCAGAAGCGAACATGCACAGATAAGAAGGGAGGCTCAGCAACAATACGAAAATGACATAGCATCGAAAGTCAAGTCTGACCCGAAGCGCTGTTGTATAGCCACATCAGAAGGAAAACAATAGTCAAGGACCAGGTAATCAGGCTGAAGAAGGATGGTGGGGAGTTCACAAGAAACGACCAAGAGGTATGTGAGGAGCTCAACGTAAGATTTAAAGAAGTATTTACAGTGGAGACAGGAAGGACTCCAGGAATTCAGAATAGGGAGATACACCAAAAAGTACTGGATGAAATACATACAACCGAGGAGGTGAAGAAGCTGCTATGTGAACTTGATACTTCAAAGGCGGTGGGACCAGACAACATCTCTACGTGGGTCATTAGAGAGGGAGCAGAGATGTTGTGTGTGCCACTAACAAAAGTCTTCAATATATTCATTGAAAATGGGCAACTATCTGAGGCATGGAAGATGGCAAATGTAGTCACAGTTTTTAAGAAAGGAGATAGACACGAGGCATTAAACTACAGACCTGTGTCACTGACGTGTATTGTATGCAAAGTCACGGAGAAGATCATCAGGAGGAGGGTGGTAGAGCACCTAGAAAGATATAAGCTTATAAACGACGACCAGCACGGCTTCAGGGAAGGAAAATCCTGTATCACAAACCTACTGGAGTTTTATAACAAGGTAACAAAGGTAAGACACGAGAGAGAGGGATGGATAGACTGCATTTTCTTGGACTCCAAGAAGGCCTTCGACGCAGTTCCTCACAAGAGGTTAATGCAAAAGCTAGAGGATCAGGCACGCATAACAGGAAAAGCACTGCAATGGATCAGAGAATACCTGACAGGGAGGCAACAACGAGTCATGGTACGAGACGAGGTGTCAAAGTGGGCGCCTGTGACGAGCGGGGTTGCACAGGGGTCAGTCCTAGGACCAGTGCTGTTTTTGGTATATGTAAATGACATAACGGAAGGGATAGACTCAGAATTGTCCTTGTTTGCACATGATGTGAAGTTAATGAGGAGAATTAAATGGGTCGAGGATCAGACAGGTCTACAAAGAGACCTGGACAGGCTGGACGCGTGGTCCAGAATTTAACCCCGCCAAATGCAAAGTCATTAAGATCGGGGAAAGGCAAAGAAGACCGCAAACAAGAGTATAGGCTAGGTGGCCAAAGACTGCAAACCTCACTCAGGGAAAAAGATCTTGGGGTGAGTATAATACCGAGCACATTTCCTGAGGCGCACATCAATTATATAACTGTTGCAGCATATGGGCGTCTGGCAACCTTAGAATAGCTTTCCCATTCCTCAGTGAGGAATCGTTCAAGACTCTGTACACCATATACGTCAGGCCCATATTGGAGTATGCAGCACCAGTTTGGAATCCACACCTGGTCCAGCACGTCAAAAAAATTAGAGAAAGTGTAAAGGTTTGTAATGAAACTTGTCCCAGAACTAAGGGGAATGTCCTACAAAGAAAGGTTAAGGGAAATTGGCCTAACGACATTGGAGGACAGGAGGGTCAGAGGAGACATGATAACAACATACAAAATACTGCGAGGAATTGACAGGGTGGACAGAGACAGGATGTTCCAGAGATGAGACACAGAAACAAGGGGGTCACAATTGGAAGTTGAGGACTCAGATGAGTCAAAGAGATGTAAGGAAGTATTTCTTCAGCCATAGAGTTGTCAGGGAGTGAAATAGTCTGGCAAGTGACGTAGTGGAGGCAGGAACCATACATAACTTTAAGACGAGGTATGATAAACCTCATGGAGCAGGGAGAGAGAGAGGACCCGGTAGCGATCAGTGAAGAGGCGGGGCCAGGAGCTGTAACTCGACCCCTGCAACCACAAATAGGTGAGTACCCACATACACACACCTGAGTTTCTTCCTCCTGGCATTTTCCAAACCCTCTCACAACTTCACCAGAGAAAGCTTACAAAAAGAAAGCTTACAAAAGTAAACAGAGCTTAGAAATGCACATGCCAGTGTTGAAGGCAGGTGTGTGGTCCACCACATATGCCACATATGTTTTCAAGCTTGAATTTCAGAATTAAGAGATGCTGTCACACCTCGGCTCAGTTTTAATGTCTACTACAACCCCCAGGATGCAACTCCAGGCAGAGTAGTAACACCAGGGTACCTACTTACTGTTAGGTGAACACGAGTAAGAGGTGATAAATGGTTCTGAAAAGCGACAACATTTAGGAATCATTATTGAGGAAACGTTTCTCCAGCTAGTGGCTTCTTCAGTTCAATACAAAGAAAAACGGTGGAGGAAGAGGAGTTCGAGGTAATCAGTCCCTCAGCCTAGAGTCAATGTCTTCAGTCCATCAGGAAACGGGTCGTGCTGATACTGAAATGCTGAAGGAGTCATCAGTCTGAAGGAAAACGCTGAGCTGTATGTACATTAGTTTTGGACTGATCACCTCAAACTCCTCTTCCACAATTCTTTGTACTGGACTGAAGAAACCACTGGCTGGCGAAACATTTACTCAGAAAAAAAGTTGATTCCGAAATGTTACTCAAGTCTTATTCTTCAGAAGTAAGACGTGCAAGGAGGCGCTTATGATCTTGTTGTTGGTAGGAGGAGGAGGAGGCAGCCATCTTGGACCTGCATGGGTAAATAAAATTTAAAGAACAGACTACTGGACTAGGTAATGAGCACAGGTTCTTCAGGTCTGAGCTCAGAGTGGTCACTAGTGAGCTGCAAGTACCAGTTACTGGATGGTGCGGGTTATATAATGACCTGGTTATTATGATCACGATGAAGCACTGAACAGGTCATCACAGTGACCAGGTCATCACAATGAGCAGGTCATCACAATGAGCAGGTCTTCACAGTGACCTGGCTATCACAGTGACCAGGCCATCACACAGTAACCAGGTCATCACAGTAACCAGGTCATCACAGTAACCAGGTCATCACAGTAACCAGGTCATCACAGTAACCAGGCCATCACAGTAACCAGGTCATTACAATGACCAGATCATCACAATGACGACACCCACGTCAGGTTGTTCCCCCCTACTCACTACTCAAGCAGAGCGTCACTCACCACTGAAGACCCAGGCTTGGAGAGGATCGCTGGAATACCAACCACAAGGAGACAGCTGGAACTGACAGCTGCCTTCACTGACTGTGGGAACAGTACGTAAGTGTTAGAAACACGTACACTAGTGTTTGAAACAAGTACACTAGCGTTAGAAACACGAACTCTCAACGTACACAAGTTAAAGATTCACTCAGGCATTCTCAGAGTGCACCATTGTTAGACTCACTCAGGCACTCTCAGAGTACACCAGTGTTAGACTCACTTAGGCATTCTCAGAGTACACCAGTGTTAGACTCACTCAGGCACTCTCAGAGTACACCAGTGTTAGACTCACTCAGGCACTCTCAGAGTGCATCAGTGTTAGACTCACTCAGGCACTCTCAGAGTACACCAGTGTTAGACTCACTCAGGCACTCTCAGAGTACACCAGTGTTAGACTCACTCAGGCACTCTCAGAGTGCACCAGTGATAGACTCACTCAGGCACTCTCAGAGTACACCATTGTTAGACTCACTCAGGCACTCTCAGAGTACACCAGTGTTAGACTCACTCAGGCACTCTCAGAGTACACCAGTGTTAGACTCACTCAGGCACTCTCAGAGTGCATCAAAGTTAGACTCACTCAGGCACTCTCAGAGTACACCAGTGTTAGACTCACTCAGGCACTCTCAGAGTGCATCAGTGCTAGACTCACTCAGGCACTCTCAGAGTACACCAGTGTTAGATTCACTCAGGCACTCTCAAAGTACACCAGTGTTAGACTCACTCAGGCACTCTCAGAGTGCATCAGTGTTAGACTCACTCAGGCACTCTCAGAGTACACCAGTGTTAGACTCACTCAGGCACTCTCAGAGTGCATCAGTGTTAGACTCACTCAGGCACTCTCAGAGTACACCAGTGTTGCTCACTCAAGCACTCTCAGAGTACACCAGTGTTAGACTCACTCAGGCACTCTCAGAGTACACCAGTGTTAGACTCACTCAGGCACTCTCAGAGTACACCAGTGTTAGACTCACTCAGGCACTCTCAGAGTACACCAGTGTTAGACTCACTCACGCACTCTCAGAGTGCATCAATGTTAGACTCACTCAGGCACTCTCAGAGTACACCAGTGTTAGACTCACTCAGGCACTCTCAGAGTACACCAGTGTTAGACTCACTCAGGCACTCTCAGAGTACACCAGTGTTAGACTCACTCAGGCACTCTCAGAGTACACCATTGTTAGACTCACTCAGGCACTCTAGAGTACATCAGTGTTAGACTCACTCAGGCACTCTCAGAGTACACCATTGTTAGACTCACTCAGGCACTCTCAGAGTACACCATTGTTAGACTCACTCAGGCACTCTCAGAGTACACCAGTGTTAGACTCACTCAGGCACTCTCAGAGTACACCATTGTTAGACTCACTCAGGCACTCTCAGAGTACACCAGTGTTAGACTCACTCAGGCACTCTCAGAGTACACCAGTGTTAGACTCACTCAGGCACTCTCAGGTACACCATTGTTAGACTCACTCAGGCACTCTCAGAGTACACCAGTGTTAGACTCACTCAGGCACTCTCAGAGTACACCAGTGTTAGACTCACTCAGGCACTCTCAGAGTACACCAGTGTTAGACTCACTCAGGCACTCTCAGAGTACACCAGTGTTAGATTCACTCAGGCACTCTCAGAGTACACCAGTGTTAGACTCACTCAGGCACTCTCAGAGTACACACCATTGTTAGACTCACTCGGGCACTCTCAGAGTACACCAGTGTTAGACTCACTCAGGCACTCTCAGAGTACACCAGTGTTAGACTCACTCAGGCACTCTCAGAGTGCATCAGTGTTAGCTATAATTAACTAGGAATAAATTACTTTTGTTTCACTAGGTAAACTACTTTTGTCAACCTATTTTTATCTTATCTACTTTTTAAAAATTATTTTAACAAAAATGACTTTTAACGGAGATGAAAAAAGGGAAGGTAAGAAAAATAACTTTACCACCTTCGTTAAACTTCTATCGTTAACTGTGTCAAAAAAAATAAATCCATCATATGTTTACTATACTCCAAAAAATTTACAAGATTGGCATAAATTTTTGTCCCGAAATTTACATAATTTGCAGATGTACAGAGAGTTGCGTGCACTCTCAGGGAGGGGGAATTTCAAAGTGCTGCGTGTAGTCGTAGGAGAGTACAAAAGTACTATGTGTACTCACAGGAGATGTACTTGAGCAGGAAGTAGCCACGGTTGTGTTGCTGGTCGCTGCTGAAGAAGATAGTGGCGGATGGGGTCGGTCGTAACTCCAGTAAGGGTCCTGACGAGGCTGGGGTACCTGTCACCTTCAGGTCACGAACTCCGTCAGAGACCTGAAGAAGGAGAACGAGGAATTGCAGCGACCTTCAGGAAGATCAGTTTAGATTTAGAAAGGATATATATAGGAAAATACTGATTTAGAAATAAAGTAGAGGACAGATGGAACAGTCTACCCTGTAGGGTTATTGACCATACAATAAGTGTCAGGGGCCCGAGACTGTTCAACTGCCTCCCAGCACACATAAGGGGGATTACCAACAGACCCCTGGCAGTCTTCAAGCTGGAACTGGACAAGCACCTAAAGTCAGTTCCTGATCAGCCGGGCTGTGCCTCGTATGTTGGTTTGCGTGCAGCCAGCAGCAACAGCCTGGTTGATCAGGCTCTGATCCACCAGGAGGCCTGGTCACAGACCGGGCCGCGGGGGCGTTGACCCCCGGAACTCTCTCCAGGTAAACTCCAGGTAATAGGTTAGATATATACACGAGAGAGAGGGGTTGGATTTGAGAGGGATTTACACTTGGAATATTAGGGTTATCAAAGCTTATTCCATGGGTAACACTGATAATGGGTTGGGGGAATAATTTTGAGTTGGTTTGAGTTTGAGAAGGGCCTGCCAAGTATGGGCCAGTAGGCCTACTGCAGTGTTCGTCCTTTCTTATGGTCTTATGTAATCATTACAGTTATCGCCATTGATGACAAGCAGCTAGCATGACTGACTCGGTTGATGTGCTGCTCTGGCGAAACTGGAGAGGGAGGAGGAGAGGCAGAAGCACAATAATGCATTTCTTTATTGACATCGTTTCTCCTTTCGCAGTGGCCTTTACCCTTTCCCATTTGTGTAGACGTTTCACTCCATTTATTTCCACTGGAGACGGAACTTGGTAGGACGACGTTTCGGTCCCCAGGGTTATCCTTGTCACTGCTATCATTCCCGAGGATCTCCTTAAGTAAAGTTTGTACCCCTCTGCTTTCCTAGTCTGTACTCCGTTTTCAGTCTTCTTTTTTCCATTCCAAATTTTCACAGCTTTGCATAGTCGAGGTCGAATTAGCGTAGCCAACACTGCAGTTTGTCCAGGTACATTTAATACCTCTCCCGCGTCATCCTCGGCTTTTATTCCATTTATTCGAGTTTCCTGTTACGCTTTTTGTTCATTTTACGGAGAAAATTTCCACTTGTTTTGGCAACGACGTTTTTACATGTTATTTTGACTTTTTCACTTAATATTATATTCAGAAGTAATTCCATTAGTAGCTAAAATGGATTTACTCGACTTTTTAATATTATCTGGCCGTAAATTATTTAGCTTTGTACGTACGTAGGTTGTTTAATTATTCTGTTGGTGTGACCTGGCTAAACACCAGCAGGCGATTTCAGCTGCTCAACCCCTGCTCCGACCGAGTCAAAGTTGGTTGGTAAAGCTTCACCTTATTCAGTTCATACCTTCCACCGGTTTAGGAAGGGTTTAGGGAAGTATCCAGCTTTAAACCACCCTTCATCTCCCTAGAAGTTACCAGGAATTTCGGAAACTCATTGCAAGGGCTTATCTCGGTCTGAGTAGGCGGTTGAGAAACTCTTAAGGAGAGTGAGAATAAGTGAGTCTCGGTGTCATGCCTTTTATGGACTCTGTTCTGAAAGAGGGATTATTGCAGAATGAGCTCTATGGAGGAAGCTCTATCAGTATGCTGCTTGAGCTTTTAAAAACGCTTGTGTATGTACATATACCTATATTTCCTGACTCACGGAGAGTCATTTGTAAATACTTAACTTATTACAGTGCTGTGATAATGAGGCGACTGATAAACGTTCTACTCATTGTGTAATATATGAGAAAATTTGTTGTAAAGATATTAAATGACCTAAGTCATTAAATGATTTAAGTGGTTATTAATAAATTAAACAGATACTAAGAAAATTCCTTATCCTCTGTGAGTGATGACCCCTGGATGTGGATAATCCCGTTCGTTTGTTACGAAAAGCACTGTAACCCAGGGACCAACAGGCTATGTTCGTAACATCTAATTTGTAAGCAAACGATACACGAGAATCTTCTGGCATATCATTCACGTAGGCCAAAAACAGTACCGGTTCCAGTATCGATCCTTGTGGAACTCCACTTGTTATTTTGATCCATATAGATACCTCCTCAGGGATTATCAATCTTCAACTCATATTTATATGTAGTTTTTGATTCCTTGTTCCTATATTTCATTTCAACCGAGTTTTCATCTTCTCTCTCTCTCTCTCTCTCTCTCTCTCTCTCTCTCTCTCTGTCTCTCTCTGTCTCTCTCTGTCTCTCTCTCTCCCTCTCTCTCTCTCTCTCTTTTAGCTTACTTCTGTTGTCCCATCATTGAAGTTCCACAGGTCTGTGAGGCAGGATTTACCGTCCCTAAACCTATCCTGGTTGCTCATAAACGTAATATTCTTCACGTACATTCAACATTCTCCTGACTTTCTTCTCATTTTTCTTACTAAGTATTTATCTGAGTTATGGTGGTCGCTAGTCCATCTCTACCTCTGTCTTCCTGTAATTAATGCAGCTATAATTTAAAGTT